TCATCTCCGTCCCATTTTGCAGGACTCCTCCCCAACCGAGGGAACTTCCACTTCCCTGCTGGCTCCTCACCCCGGTCTCAAACCCGAGCCACTCCTCCAGGACTTCTTTCCTGGTCCCCTAGGGATCCTTAGACCCAGGAGCGGCCAGGCCAGTTGTGTCTCTCATCCCAGTTCAACTATGGGGGCGCAGGGCGCTTCGGTTCCTCCCCCAGGCGGTGCAAGATCTCTATTTGTCCGACCCTCCGAAGACCCGCTGCTCCTCATCTCCCCAGGAGCCCCCTCCCTTGGACAGCCGCTTTTCTCACGAGGGTCCCCAAGCCCCTCCGAGCGTTTCCTCAGACGCCCCTACTTGGAGCAAGTCTGCTCCCTGTCACCCGGGACCCCAGCCACCCTCGGCCTTCCTACCTCCCTCGGACTGGGGCCACTCCCAGTTCCCCTGCCCCCCACCCCCCACCCCGCTCTCTCCACACGGGCCGCGGCCGGGCTTCCCGGGTTCCCCTTCTCCCTGACACCCAAGCCGTCCTGGGTATTCCCGACACACCCCGCCCTCGGAGCAGGTCGTTACAGGTCACCCCCTTCTCTGGGACCCCGGCCGCTTCCGTTTCCTCAGATAACCTACTCCCCACACACTGGCCGCCGGTCAGCGCCCCAGACCGGAGCAGCTGGACGTCCCAAGGGACCTCCTGCCCTGACCCGCGTGGGTCTGGCCCTAGCCTACCTTCCTCGGGAGAACTCCGCAGCCAGAAGCCCAGCCATTCTCCCCGTAGCCCAGTCAGCGCGAACTCGCCGCCACCCCCGCCGCCTCCGCCCTGGTCCCGGCCCCGGCCCCGGCCCAGACCCGAAGTCCAGGCCCCCTTCCTCCGACCTCCGCCTGCGGAGTGCTGAGCTGGAGATTCCGCCCCGCGACGGCCACCAGATCTCTTACCCGCGTTACCGGCACTCACCTGCCGCTGCCCCCGACCAACTCAAGCGCCACTGCCTCTACCTCGGCCGCCAGTGGCCACCAAGCGCCACCACCTCCCCCATGACAACAGGCCCACCCTCTTTCATACTTCTAACCTATCCATTGGATAATGGGGCGGCAGCTCTCCTCTCTGATTGGCTTAATTTACCCGCCCGTCATCGCTCTTTACCGCCCCTTTTCCTAAACCCGGTATTCGCCCCCGCCCGGACCTGGAGCGTCCTAGCCCAAGCTTTAGTTGTAGTTGGTTGAGGGTTGGGCAATTCGAAGTTATGATAGGCTGCTAAAAGTGTCTGCTAAGCTAACTGGCAAGAGATGTGACGGCTAAGGTTGATTCACGCTTGTGCATAGTTTGGTTGCGCAGTGGAAGCAAAGGAGGGGTAGACGCTCACATCCGTGGTTACCCGGGAAGGGTTAACTCTTTGTTGTAGAGTTTTCTCTGTAAACTCTTCCGCTTCTCCAGCTCCCTTCCTGCAAGGAGAAGCTTATCTCTGCTAGCTTTACTCATAGGGGTAGTACTTACAAAACACCAACAGCAGAGGTTGTGTTTAAGTAGTGTTTCCAAGCCCTGGGGAGAAAGGTATCAGAGAGATAAAAAATGTCCCCTTCTTTTCTTTGGTCTCAATGCACCCAGTTTCATTGAAGTTCTTTCCAGGCGCCTCCATGCTAAAGGGCAAAGCGCAAACTTTCATTTAGCAGAAATCAGTCAACTTCGGTTGCAATTGTAAATGTCGTCAATAAACTGAAGTGGCGTATTGAGAGTTCTCCAGCTTCCAGATCCACTCCTGGCTGACCCCTGCCAATTGACCAGTCATTAGCAACTTTCTTTTTTTTTTTTTTTTTTTTTGAGACGGAGTTTCTGTTGCCCAGGCTGGAGTGCAATGGCGCTATCTCGGCTCATTGCAACCTCCGCCTCCCAGGTTCAAGCGATTCTCCTGCCTTAGCCTCCCGAGTAGTTGGGATTATAGGCATGAGTCGGGGTTTCTCCATGTTGGTCAGGCTGGTCTCGAACTCCCAACCTCAGATGATCCGCCGGCCTCAGCCTCCCAAAGTGCTGGTATTACAGGCGTGAGCCGCCACGCCGGGTTCGCAACTTTCTAATAAGCGGGCCACATTATGTATACCCTTGTGATGCTCTGGAAATGAGAATTCTGCTTCCCCCCACCTCTCACTGCCACTTTGTTTTTCTGTTCAGCAGTTCTTAAATAGCCCTACTAGCTTTAGATACTTTAAAAGCTTCTCTCTCTCTCTCTTTCTTTTTTCTAAACCCCTCTTCCTAGCAGTCTAAATTAGAGCCATTGAATGAATTGCCGGGTTGTGTGTGGGGGGTGTGTGTGTGTGTGTGTGTGTGTGTGTGTGTGTTTCCCCTCACTTGGCACAATGCACAAGAATAAATGATTGCATTTTTTATTCACTTGGGTACAAATCACAGTAGGCATTTTTGAGAAATCTGATGTTGCTATAAAAACTCTTGTGCTCCTAGAAATATGTTCATCATTAGCTTTTTGCTTTTCTTTTTTTTTTTTTTCCACCCACTTTTCCTGCTCCTAAATAACGAAATGCTGGTCTGATTACTCTTTCAATTTCTAAATCAGATTTAAATGTACCTTCTCACAACTTCACCTATGATACATAAACCCATGGACCATGAAACATAACACCCAGTGATAGGTTAAGACACGTCAGGCCGTGAAGTGGCTCACGCCTGTAATCCCAGCACTCTGGGAGGCCAAGCTGGGCAGATCACCTGAGGTCAGGAGTTTGAGACCATCCTGGCCAACATGGTGAAACCTCTGTCTCTACAGATTGTGCCACTGCACTCCAGCCTGGGCGACAGAGCGAGACTGGTCTCAAAAAAAAAAAAAAAAAAGACACTGTCAAGGAGGCATTCCCCTCAAGGATGTGGACTTTGGAAATTTTGTGCTTTGTCCCTTTCTTCTTTCTGCTAACTCTATGTCTCATATTTCTTCTATTTACTAACCTCCTTGTTCTTTGCAGAGCAAGTTACAAGGAGTCTAAAACTGTATGGTTTATTATTCAGAAAAATATTGTCTATTTTCTAGCCTATATTTTTAGTCAAGTTTAAATAAAGTACATACTTCTATCACCAAACTAAGCAGAAATTATTCCTCCAGTAACTATACATAACAATAAAGTGCCTTTTCCTAGTTATTTTCCGGAACTTTCCTCCCCCTCCTCTCTTCCTCACCTTCCAATTTAGAAATAACCTCCCATTCAATTCAATGACTCACAAAAAGCCTGTGAAAGGAAAGTGGAAAAGCCAAAATAACTTAGAGATGTCTGAATCATTCAGTTGAAGGAAAGATCAGACATTGACCATGATAAGAAAGACGCCAAGACATAAGGCAAGCCTGAGCTAACATCCCGTAACATATGAAGTAATGCAAATGTGAAGATGCCCCAAGAAAAAGCAAATACCAGTATGTCCTTTTACACAGCCTTTTAATGTATCACCAGCAGCTTGCTTCTCTCTAGTCTTGGCAGTGTGCCGTGCTACCAATTTTAGAGCAAGTTAGAAGACAATTAATGTCCTGACAGATAGGAAACAATAACGTCATAGCAGGGCATGACCCTTATTATGGTACTTTGGGTAATAATGGCTCTTGCACAGCCATAGTGACTAGGTGCCGTAGAGAACATAGAATTAGGCCAGCCTTGTTAAGTGGACTTGCCATCTAAGTTTAGGAACGCAGCAAAATTACTATCACAGAACTAGGTGGAAAATTGTCACAAAAGTCAGCCGCTATTTCATATGCTAAAAAAAAGAAAAAAGAAAAAAAGCATGCATAAACACTTTTGCTCATACACACACATCTATCATTCCTGTTCTTTGTGAATATCAGTTAAGAAAGGACATATAAAATAAGTATGTTACAACCCAGTAAGAAGTGGGAAAACCTTAAGGAAGGTTTTAAGGAACATGCCTTGAAATAACAGAAGGCTATTGTGTTATCAAAGACTGTGCAATACCGGAGGGGTTATTGCTTGTATCCTACATTTTGCTTTCACGTGCACAAGGTAACCCTATCATGTAATTACTCCATCCAGCTTTTCTCTTCTCTTTCCTGTGTTTTGTGCTTCTCCACCATTCTCAGGGCTCCCTCTCAGAAAGCAAGAACACTGGAGTCTGGGAGTCTGCAGCTTCATGTTGCATGGCTGGCTGTGGAGGTCCTGCAGATGGTATCTGTTCAGAGCCACTTGGGCACGACCATAATGGCAGGTACCCTCGGGGCAAAAATAGCGTTTATAAATCCCAATTAAGCAGAAAACAGAGGACTCAGAGAGATGTCCAATATCTGAGGAGTGATACAGTGTGCCTTGGGTTTTCCTGTATACTAATGCTGTTTCTCCTGCTCTTTCATAATGTCACTTTTCAAGGGAGAAGAATCCAAGTCTCCTTCCATTTCTATTTTAGCCCACAGGGGCAGTCTCACTAGAGAAAGGATCCATTTTTTACTTTTGGATTTTTTTCCTTTGGATTCTACGCACGATTCCAATTCCAACTAGATTAGAGAAATAAACAACCGGTGGAGAAGAAAATCACTCAGCAGACAAGGGCCAGAGCTGCCTGCCACTAGCAGTTGGAGGCAAGCCAAAATATTTGATAAGACGTAGTTTCCTGAGTTAGGGATCCCTGAGGGTGGAGGCTGACAAAGATGAAGGGATTAGAGAGAAAGGGAGGGAAAAGGAGGGAAGAGGAGGAGATGAGGGGGCAGGAGAGAAAAGGGTAAGAAAAGCTAGAAAAACAGTCAAGAAGCCCAATCAAAGTGCTGAGCCAGCTTACCGTCCTGCCTCGCCTACCTCCTACTGCCACCCATGTGGACTTTACACCAGATTGCATAATTATACCAGCAAAGTGCAGACTCTGCCACTGGTTAAAAGGGAAAGCATGCCAGGTTCCAGCCTATGGGACCGTTGTTCTGCTGCCACCTGGAAATCCTCCCAGAGCTCAAAGCCTGCTGCTCTGGGCAAAGCTGACAAGGAAGGACGGATTCATGCAGCCAACCAAGGAGCATACTTTCATTTGATTTCCTTAAGGTGACCGCTGGCAAAAAGCACTGGCTAAACAAAGGGAGACTATCTGGGAGAAGGTGTTTTTACCCTTTCAAGCTGGGGTGCTTTCACCACAGGGAAGTGCTGCGCTGCTTTCCACGCTGGAACAAGGCACTGTGGTTTCAAAGTTCAAGGCTCTGTTTCAGGGATGGGAAGAAAAAAAAATCAGTGAAAGAAGGTGTTCTGGTCTCTCAGGCAGAACCATTTGTTATCTGATTCCAGAGCTCGTGTAATTTTTAAATACCACGCTATGCCTTTTCATTACTAAATGCATTCATTTTCATCCTCAAGAAAAGTGTATGCCCCCTTCCACCTGCTTTACATATTGTGGGTAAGATGGCTTGAGTGCTTGTAAAAATGGATGGACTGTAGCTCTCAGTTCTGCCATTGTGCTATTGACTGGAGCTCCTGGTTACTATCACTAGATCTATGGGTGGATCAACCATTCTTCTGCAGCAGGGAGTGGACCCACTGAAAGCACTTAACACCATTTAAACTTTTGTCCATCTCTGTTTTACATGCACACAAAGAGTTTCCTGGAAACATGGCTACACTCCAAGGATTTCAGAGAATAGAATTCTTCTAGAACTGCAGTGTCCCAATCACTTGGAACCTCATCAGAAAGCAGACTTAAACTCAGAACCTAGAACCTAGAACCTAGAACTTAATATGTTCCAAAAGCTTTGGCTCTGCCATTTACCAACTGTGTAATTTGGAGAACATTGATTCATCACCCTAAAGCTTCATTTATCTTCATCTATAAAATGAGATATGTATTAGCTATCTTGTCTTGCATAACAAATTACCCAAAACTCAGTAGCTTAAAACAACATTTATCATCTCAGTTTCTGTGGGTCAACCCTCTGGCTTTGGGTCTCTTATAAGACCACAGTCATCTCAAGCTCACCTGGAACAGATCTGCTTCCTACCTCACTCACCTGGTTAGTGTTGGCAGGACTCACTTCCTAAAGCCTTGGTTCCCCAGGAGCTGTTGGCCAAAAGCCTTCCTTGGTGCCCTGCCTCATGGACCTCTTCGTAGAGCATCTCACAACATGGCAGCTTACTTCATCAGTGCAAGCAAGCAAGAGCAAGAGAGAGGGCTCACCAGAGAGAGTAATAGCAAAACAGAAGGCACAGTCTTTTGTAATCCAATCACAGATGTGACATCCCATCACTGTTGCCACATCCTGTGAGTTAGTAGTAAGTCATTACGTCCAGCCCACACTCAAGGAGATTACACAAGGATGTAAAGACCAGCAAGAAGATCATTCAGAGCTATTTTAGAAGCAGCCTACTCTAAGATTATAATAATATCTAGGGTTTGTTTAAAATTTAAATTTGAGATTACATGGTGGCAGCTACTTGGGAGGCTGAGGTAGGAGGCTCACTTAGGCCAGGGGCGTTTGAGACCAGCTTGGGCAACATAGTGAGACTCCTCCATCTCTTAAAAAAAAAAAGAAAAGAAATATATGTGTTTATTTTTAAATATACAAAAATCAAATTAGAGAATATGTTCAATTCAGAGCCAGCATGTTATATAATATATAACTGCTATATATAATAACTATTATTACCATTAATATTATTATTGAGTATATAGTGGCTGGTTTTCTCCCCTAGCTCCTAGAAAGAACCCTTTTATGAGGAGTAAATGAAATAATATATATAATTCAGGACCCTGACATGTAACAAATGCTCAAAAATCATTAGTTATTGTTAACTAATGCCGGGCACCGTGGCTCATGCCTCTAATCCCAGCACTTTGGGAGGCCGAGGCAGGCGGATCACGAGGTCAGGAGATCGAGACCATCCTGGCTAACACGGTGAAACCCTGTCTCTACTAAAAATACAAAAAATTAGCTGGGTGTGGTGGCGGGTACCTGTAATCCCAGCTACTCAGGAGGCTGAGGCAGGAGAATGGCGTGAACCTGGGAGGCGGAGCTTGCAGTAAGCTGAGATGGCGCCACTGCACTCTAGCCTGGGAGACAGTGAGACTCCGTCTCAAAAAAAAAAGAAAAAAAATTATTAATAAACGTGTGATATTTGATACTCTTTCCAAGCTACTGGAAGGAAATACTATGAACTCTCATTACTTTTCCAGGGTGGCCTTATTTCCATATATTTTGTTCAGTTTTTCCATTAGCACCCTATACTCGCCAGAGCACAATTCCAGATTTGGGGTTCATAAAATATGACCACCAAAGCCATAACACAGTCTAATTTCCTGCCTGCCCTATACCAAGAAGGGTATTCCCAAAACCAGTAAAATGGGCTAATTATGGCCGCACCTCCTACATGCACATGAGCCTGGCCCTAATCAGAATCCAGAGAGAAGGGATTGTGCCTGGGAGAATGACCAGAGACTTGGCTATGTGACCTTTGTCTCTTTCAAAATATGGTCATCATTGTGCAGTCTACTGAGTCAATCCTCAACTAAGAATGAGAGAAAGAGGGACCTACACATTGCCTACAGATGGGATAAGAGTGTCCAAGAAGACGTTTTCACACCTGGGTTGGAAGTAGTAAGAACCGATAAAAATAAAGAGCAATTTTGCAATTAGAAAGTTGGAAGAGAGAGTCCAGTTTGCAACATGAAAGAAAGATCACTAAGAGGCTGGAGTCACCCTTAAGGCCTGGGTTGAAGCTGTCTTCCTTATAAAGGTGGAGGATATTGAGGGTTGGCCTGTGGCCAGGAAAAATGAGGAACTATAATCAAGAAAACCCCATTATTTTGGCCTTGAGTCATTTTCAGGGCTCACCCACAATTATTACATAAGAAAGACAGAAAAAAAAAAACCTCCTAAAGTGTAAATGATCCTTAAACTAAAAACACTGTAGAAATACAAAGATCCAGGCTGGGTGTGGTGGCTCATGCCTGTAATCCCAGCACTTTGGGAGGCTGAGGCGGGCAGATCACCTGAGGTTGGGAGTTCGAGACCAGCCTGACCAACATGGAGAAAACCCGTCTCTACTAAAAATACAGAATTAGCCAGGCGTGGTTGCACATGCCTGTAATCCCAGCTACTCGGGAGGCTGAGGCAGGAGAATCACTTAAACCTGGGAGGCGGAGGTTGCGGTGAGCCAAGATAGCACCATTGCACTCCAGCCTGGGCAACAAGAGCGAAACAATGTCAAAAAAAAAAAAAAAAAAAAAAAAAAAAAAAAAAAAAAAAAAAGGAAGGAAGGGAGGAAGGAAAGAGAGAGAAAGAAAGAGAAAGATCTAAGTCTTTGCAACTTATCTGTCTCTCTCTGTTTCTGTCTCTGTCTCTGTTTCTTCTTCTCTCGCCCATATTTTATTTACACATGTTCTTTCGTTTCTTTTCCACACGGAAGAAAACTACCCTTACAAGGAAATGCCTTGGGATCCTCTAGGCTGGGATTGTTTTCAGATCAGAAATCATCTTCTCTCAGCTGTCTCCACTGTAGTGCTACAGGATTAGAGCTCAGTATTCACAGATAATGACAGTTTACACCTCTCCCTCTAAATCAAGTCACCTGTGCAGCTGTGATTTACAGCGTTCGTATGATTTTCTGCGCTGCACTAGCCCCGGCCCTTTCTTCTCCCGAAACGTTCTCAAACATTACCAGATTTGTACACAGAAAGGCTCAAAGCAGAAGTTACTGGGAAAGTTCTGTAAACATGAAGAGGAGATGTACACCAATATCAAGTTCCTCTTCCTGTTACTCTGGTTTTCTCTCCTTCCTATTCTGTGTTTCCTCTGTGTCTGAGACAGAGGAGACTTGTATGTTTCCATACCTGTTAATAGCCGGAGATAACTTTGTTCTTCCCCTTGGCAGGTGAGTGGATTTTAGAAGGGAAAGATAGGGTAAAGAGATGAGGACTCGCCCCCAGGAAGTCTGACTATACAATAGGAATGGTGTATTTATTTATTCAGCCCTTTCCTACACTGCAGTCAAAGCAGCAGCCATTTCATTTTACCCTCAGGATGTGTATTTAGTGGTAAGCTTTCTTTCTTTTCCTGTTAGTTTCCTGCAAAAGGACATCAGTGTCTTCCTCATTGGAGCAGCTGATAAGAAGGATGTTGTTGCTTAAATGGAGACAGAAAAACATATTTCCTATCACAGACCCAGGCCATCCCAAGGGCATGGAGAATTAGACCAGGTTGTGGAAATAATGGAAGAACCTGATTTTCATGCCTATTTCCCTGGTGCCATCTTCTTCCCTGAAATACTCTGCAATAATTACGCCTTCCACTTAAGTAGGATTTCACACTTTTCCAAAGTAGCATCACGTTGTACAGAAGCAGAGTTGGCTGCACTGTAGTTGGCATAGCCGATTAGTTACTTTGGAGGGTTTATATGAAGAGGCAACTTTGGGTTTAACTTTAAGTTTTGGGGAACTCATATAAATAGCATAGGTTTACCCTAAGTTGGATTCCATTTGCTAGCTCCTTCCTATCCTACAGATCTCATCTTCAAAGGTACTATTACAGGGGAAGCTTCCTGATATCCCTCTTCCAGCCACACTGGGTTGGGTGCCCCTCTTATACACACTGCACTTCCACTTTGGATACAAATATCCCGTGGGTAAACTTGCTCAGTGCCTATCCATCCAGCAACACGTCGGCACTATAATACCAGGGACAACAACCTTCCTGCTCGTAGCTGCCTAGCATAGGGCCTGGCCCACAGTAGTTCACTAAATATTTAGTGAATGAATGAGTGAGTCAGGAATTGCCTCTAGGAGCAGCCTTACCACCTGACACAATCACTTATTTTGGGGTGGTGCTCTGGGAGTTATAAAAAAGGCATGTGCTAATTATCACATAATGATCACCAGTGGTTATAGTAATTAGTAGGCAAAAGCACAGTGGTGGAGTATGACTAAATAAAGGTCTCCACCAGGTTGGGGGCTATCCTTGCACTCTGAATTTGGAATCCCACTGCCCATCTCTCTTGGACTCCTGTGGACAGGGTCATTTTGGGAAATTCTGTTTGGAGTTGCCAACACTGGGGAATAGGGAGAATTAAGCTCCATTTCCCCAAACTCAGTGAAATCTTTCTGATATGAAAATTAAATTAAAAAACAAAGCCAGTGGTAGCCCTCTGCTGCTTTCCTTCAGCCTCTGAGACAGATTTCCCCATCAAGGGTCTGTGCTGAGTCATCCCGCCTCCAGCAGAAATAAGTCAGCAGCACCCTGAGGATGGGTGATGGAGGCAAAGACTCATCCTGCTAATGTCCTCCTCCCACGGAGGCCAAGGTTCATGGTCTTGGCCCTCTCCCTGGGAACAAGAGGGCAACCCAAGAGAAAAGACTCTTCCTTCCCACTCCTCTCTCCCTTACAAGCTCATTGTCTGTGATTTCTCTTTCTTCTGCCAATGGAAGTAGAGGATGGAAATAGAGGAGGAGGAAGAAGAAGCCAAAGGGCACAGGACTGTACTTTGCTGACTGGGGAGAGGTGGGACACATGGGTCGGGGGTATGAATTGGGATGAAGGATGACAAGACATGAAGAATCCTTGGAGGTTCTCCAACAATTCTCACATACAGGACAGCTAAGGCACAGCCCAGTTGCAGAGACACCAGGGAACCCAGAAATGTAAATAGTGGGAGGTGATGACAGCAAAGAAGCAGGCAGATCTGATACACAGGCCCCTACACAGAGCTACGCCCTGTGGGAGAACCACAAACTGCCTAAGACTGGGTAGCAAAGAGAGAGTGGGCGTTCAGTGTGAGACCTTGAATCAGAGGTTCACACTCTATATCTAGCTCAGTCTCCAATTTGTGGGGAGGACCCAGGTGAAAGATGAATGTCAGAGATGTGGCTTAATCAGCTGCCTATGGGATGGGCACATATTTGGGAGATACTTTGAAATCTCTAGATGAAAGGAAATGCCAGAAAAAGCTATCATTACTTTGAGGGCTGATCATAGAGCAGTCAGAGCATCTTTGAGCTCCTAGGAATCAGAAGCTATGGTATTTTCATCTTGGACAGACCAATTCCTGAAGACCAGTTTTTTAAGAACATCAATTGAGAACAGGGTCAATTGTGAGGTCCCTTAGGAATACAACCAGAAATCTCATCACTGGAGTATAGAAATTTCCAACTAGGCTCCAGCAAGTTATCC